AGTTCCCAGGCACAGCTATTCACTATCTTCTGGAATGTTTAGGGATGCACCAGCTTTCTCTCTTATCTCCAGATAAGAGACTGGAGACGAGATAAGAGATAAGAGACTCTGGAGACAAGAGCACCGTTTTCACCCCCCTTCCTCCATTCCAGTCCATCACATCGTTCTAGCAACAATTCTGTTCTGATTCTGACATTCTCTATTCATTGATATATTTATATTAAAATTTGTTTTGTAATTATAATGAAGGTTATCTTTTATTTTTTTAAAAAGTCAGAATTTCTGGAATGTTGTATTGTGTTCTCAGCAATTAATTCTGCAACATGCATACAGGTGGTCCTCACTTAATGACCACTCATTCAGCAACTGTTCAAACTTACGACAGTGCTGAACAAGTGGTAGTTATGTCTGGTCCTTGTACTTACAAAGGTTACAGCGTTCCCACTGTCACATGATCGCCATTTGTGACCTTTGCCAGCTTTTATAAGCAAAGTCAATGGGGAAGCCAGTAGGTGGTTGCAAATGGCAATCACATGATGTCCTTGCTTAACAACCCATGGGGATTTGCTTAATGAAGGCAACCTGAGGTTCTGGGATTTCTGTTGCTAAGTGGCGTGGTCACATGATGTCATGCTTTACAACTGCATTGTTTAGCAATGGAAATTCCAGTCTCAATTACTGTTGTTAAGTGAGGACTGCCTGTAATTGTGTTATGTCATACGGAAGCTAAAGTCAACAGAATACCAAAACAAATTGCCCAAAAGATCCAAAACCATTCGCAGATACTGTCTGTCCCTTCTGCAACCTGTTCTCAGCTTAAATAGCTTAACTTACTTTTTACTACACACACACTGCCAGAAAGAGGAAGAGCTTTTGCTTGAAGTAATTTTTTTTTCCTGTGATTTCCTAGATCCCACTCCCACCAAGTCCTACCTGAGTTATAATTTCAGTTTGCCCCACCATGAAGAACATTCCACATATGCATCAGAAGGTAGGCTTTGAAAATTCAAAACCCCTGTAAGATCAGAGCCATAATGGTTACAGTCAAACTGACAATTACTGAGAATTCTGGGAACAGAAAATCACCTATCTGGAGAACGCCCAATCAAGAGAAAGCTGATCTAGCCCTTGCCAACTTTTATTATTATTTTTATATTCATATATAACAAATATTATATCCCACACCGTCAGAGTCTTTGATAGCCTTGTCTCTCTCTTTTATCTTAGACATGGATGTCAACACTTCTGAGCCCTCCACATCTTCCTACAGGACTTACTCATCTTTATTAAGCCATACTACATCTCCAGGGACAGTGAGTGCCCGCCAACCAGTAAGTTGTTCCTCACATACCTAGACAGAATAAGAAAGTTACCCAGGTGGAGTCACATCCAAAACAACCACAGAAAGATCCCTCCTCACCACTCTGCATACTCACTGCTGCCCATGCTTTCTTTCAGATTGCAGAGCCATATCCCTATTCTTCCAGTGAGAAAGATATGCCAGCTGAGAGGTGAGTAGGGACAATGCAGAGGGATCAGTGAGAAAGAATATTTCCAAGAGCCTCTAGTGGAATGGGTTGCCAGTTCACTTTGTGAGCAGATCCCTTTCTGTGGTTCCTTCAGTAAATGCATGGTATCATGGCGTTGAGGGCAGCCAGATGATGCTGAGTCCAGATAGAGCTACCTGAAGGAGTTGCCTGAAGATGTCCTATGTCTGCACACCTCTGTGCACCAAAATTCCTTGTAGCCTTTGAATCTGAAATGCTGCACAGCCCTATCAGTAATGGGGAGTCCTCTCAGGGTTGCCAAATATTTCTGGCTCTAAAGAAAGGTTGATGCTAAAGTTGCTATCAGCTAAGATGGTCTTCCCCAACTTGGTTCCATCTTGATATGTTAGAGCTGCAGTTGTCAGAATAGTTGCTGGCTGCCAATGTTGGAAGCTGCAGTTCCAGCACATTTTGAGGGTTAGGCTTCTATCTCAGGCAGTGAATTTTGAGCACCATCATGATTATCAGCATTGGTGCAATTGTCAAAATGAGAATCTTTTACAAACTTGGTGGAAAATCTGTAAGGCAGGAAAGCATCAACATGCAAATGAAGGCTAGTGGAGATCAGGTTGAGAGTAAGAGAAATTTCATATCATGGCAGATGGGAAATCTAATCTAGGAAGCCTTAAATCACAATGCCTAAAATATCAATAAAAATCTCAGAGAGTTCTCCTGAGATGAACAACATCACTGCAGTTCATTTCCATGGGGCTTATCTTGTCAGCAGCAGTTTCTTCTTTGTGTTAATTAGTGGGAAAAGGGAAAGAGATTGTTTCTGGGTTTGGGTAGTCATCCAGATGTTTTGGATTTTCTCAACATACAATAAACTACTGGCTAGTTCTTTGGTACAAAACGGTTTGCTCTTTCTCTTTCTATAACCTGATTTGCTAGCATCACCAGAAGGCTTTATTCTAGGAAAATACATTTTTGGCTCAATCTAGCCCAGTGTTTCTCAACCTTGGCAACTCTAAGATGTGTGGATTTCAATTCCCAGAATTCCCCAGCCAGCATGCTGGCTGGGGAATTCTGGGA